CAAACTTTTCATTTGAGTCATCCTAAACAGGATTGACAGAACACTTGACGAAGAACTGCCATGTGAGCAAGCAGGGTTTCGAAAAGGATTTAGTAGGATAGGCCACATCCAGACGATAACAAGACTTATTGAAGTATCGCGAGAGTACAAAAGACCGCTCTGCCTCACTTTTATCGATTTAAAGAAGGCCTTTGATTCAATTGAGATAGAAACAGTCATGGAAGCTCTTGATAGTCAGGGACTCCGTGCTCAGTCACAAGGATTCTTCGTGAAATGTGCAAAAATTTCGCAATCAAGATATCACTATTCTACAACGATGTTAACATCGACGTCAAAAGAGCGGTCAGGCAAGGCTTACCGTCTCGCCAAAATTATTCACCAGTACCCTCGAGAACGTCATTCGAACATTGGAATGGGAAAACATAGGAGTGAAAATCGATGGCCGACAATTACACCGTCTTCGCTTTGCTGATTATATCGTTCTTATAACACCAAGTATTAGCCAAGCGGAACGAATGCTTGTGGATTTTGATAAAGGCTATGGAAAGGCTTGTCTTCGACTAAATCTTCATGAGGAACGGATTGGTTTCGTATGCCCATTAACGCTCAACGGAATGAGTATCTCCAAATGCTGCAGTTATGTCTATCTTGGCAGAGAAACCAACTCGATTAACGACTTAGTTCTACAGTTGAGCAGAAGGAAACGAGCGGCTTGGGGAGCTTTCAAGAGCATCGAGGATGTAATGAAGAGAGCAAGGAACACCCGGCTCCTTTCCCACCTTTTCGACTCTGCAGTACTTCCTGCGTTAACGCATGCGTCAGAAATCTGGTCGCTGCGTAAAGGTAATGAAAAGTCACTCATGGTTATTGAACACGTAGTCGTAAGGACGATGATAGGAGTATCCCGTTTCACACATGTAAGGAACGGGATACTTCTGAATCTTGGACCTGCGCCAACGATCAAAAACCAAAGATGCAGTTCTGTACACCAAACAGTCAAAGATAAGGTGGGCCGCAAATGTAATGTGTATGAATGCCAACAGATGGACAAGAGCCGCCAGTGACTGGATTCCTCGGGATGTCAAACGTACTGCAGCAAGACCACCGACCCGATGGTCAGAGTTCTTCACAAAGAGCCTTGAAGAAAGATATGATGCTCGACGAGTCTCTAGAGCGAGCAGAACCCACTGGGCTACTCTTGCACGCAACAGGGAAAAATGGAAGATTTACTGGGTCCCGCACTAGTCATTCGACAATGAACGGGGCCACAGGTGATACAGACGAATTTTTTGTTTTGGGATCGTAAAGATTTGTTGGAGACATAGTTTTTTAGGCAACCAACGGAGATTTTAAAACTTTAACACCTTTATCTCGATGGTAGTTCAGGTTTAGTATTGAATCCAAGCAAAATTTTTCTTTGGTATCAGTACAGCCAGCGTATTTAACTACTTTTTTGAATAATCTTAGATTTCCGTCGATTGGCATACATTTTTAGCCTTGCAATAGCATGTTTTTTTCTAAATGATGCAGGATTCTTGTAGGGAAATTTGGTAGGAAAGAATGCTGTTGACATGATAGCGAATTCATAGAAATAGTGCTGCTGGAGACCAGATAGAGTAGCGAGAGGGTGTCGTGGTTAGTGTGCAAGCTGTTCAGAGGTTACGTTCGGAAAAACAATGTTGGTGATTCGCTCTATTACTTTACCATGGCTTGCCAGGGCGTTGGTTTTCTTTCTGCTTGGTGTTTTAAATGCTGGTGCTTTACCTGGAATAGTGTAAATGCACGCTCTCTCGGTAAGAAATAGGGAAAGACGCACTACACATTGGTTTTATATACCCATTTGGATACTTGGATGGACCATCTTCATCAGTTTTTGCGGACCCGTCGTAATTTAAATTTTTTCGGAGTTCTGCTGGTTTAGCCATTGTGTTTACCCAGAGTCCCGAGGTCATTCTCGCCAAAGTCTACCCCAGGCCGTCACCACCACAGGCAGTAACCGTCCTTGTGTATCAGAGGAAGATTTGCCACCACGCGACTAGTTTGGTACCAGGGCGGTGGTAGATCCTGGTATTGGTTTAATCCTAACTGGGCTTCCTGGTGGAAACTGGTTTTATATTAGTCGTTTAAATTTTGCTTTCATACCGTAGCTTGGCGGGCTTGCTGTAGATGGTGAAACAGATATCATTGATAATGTCATTATATTCTGTAAGATCACTGGTAGATGAAACAGTATTTCACTCTTGTGAGAAATTCTGGAAATATTACATTAATATGCTTGCAGGTTCATTGACTGTAGTGAATACTTCTGCTTGGAGTATTCCATAACGATACAATGTCTTCACGTTTTCTTTATTCAAGCTGAATCGATAATGAATTGTATACCCTGTAGATAGAAGAGTTTTACCCAAAGGGAGGTCTTCCTAAGTCCTTTCAATTTCTTCCGTTCTTTATTTTGTTTTTAAGGTAGACTTCAAGTCTGTTCTTACATTACTACAGGGTAAGTTAGTAAAAATGCTTGGTCAGGTGTGCAACCAAAACAAGATCAGTTAAACGTAGCACAATAAGAGTGGTGTTCCAAGAGTATTCGCTCACTCCAAAATTTTTTTTTTCTCAGAATTCTTCTTTAACAGTTATTTCTGACATTGAAACGGATGACGATGTGGTTTTTGTTTTTTAGATTTATAATGATTGAATCAACTTGTACGCTAAAATTGGCGTTCGCCATACTGGGCAGAGTTTTCGAAACAGTACTCGCTTTTGCACAGGCTTCTTAGCTATGTTCGGGTATAGTTAAAATGTGTTGTAAGACTTGGAGATTGATTCGTATTGTTTTTCACATCGTTTCTTCTCTTATTCTCCTTTTCTTCCCTTTTCTTTTTCATCTCTTTCTCTCTGAAATTTTAAGCGGTCTTGTGTATTTTAACAATCAGCGTTGGTTTGTCTTCTAGTAGTAAATTTATTGCTAAGACCGACTTTCTCTTAAGCTCACCATTGATTGATAATTCACTGTTTTTCTTCGATAAGCAAACATGAGGTTGATATGATAGAATTTCTTAGCACGCAATAGCTGACGTTTCGGCAATTTCGTCTTCTTCAGAGCATGGAAAGGTCAAATTGACATACGATCTACTCAGCCGAACACTTTCATAACCCTAGCAGAAAGAACTTAACAAATAAATTTCTATTCGCATAGTAGTTCTTTTAAACACACATCATTTTATTCTCCGCAACTATTCCGATTAATTGGTGGAGAGCAGCTGCATAGAGTAATAGATGGGCGAGGAGCGTGCCTTGGTCAGGTCATTGAATCAGCCTGAGGAATGGCCCGATATGATAACAAGATTCTCCTCCTTGCGGTTCACTTTTGGATTTTTGGAATTAGTCGAAAACGCTTCAAGAGTTTAACGCGCTGATGTCTGGATTGCTATGCGAGGGTAGTGACTACTTCAACATCTTCTCCGTTGTGTTTTTATGCCCTATGTGCGCCTAGTGGAGTGTTTGGTTTCCATCTAGATTTACCGGAAAGGGGTTCTTTTGAGGGACACGGAGCAGTCTACCGGTTTCGCCAACGTATTCGTCCCTGCAAATTTTACAAGAGATTAAGTACACCGTCCTCAAACTCATGCAATCGCCATCTCTACCGTTAGGGTAAATTATGCAGTTTTTCGTTGCACACGGACGGTCATATAGGCGGTTACGAACTAGTTAGCGTCTTAGAATATATGATGGTATTTCTATCACTTTTACCGAATACCAAATTCTCTAGACCAGCTCTTCTTAAGCAAAGTTTCATAGCTGCATTTATTTCGTTCAAAGTAAAGTCTAAATACAGAAATAAATGAAATCGGAACGTCAAATAGCCATTTCGAATGCCTACAAAACTATAGCTTCTTGGTATAGGCATAAAGGAAAAAGCACGCCTTGAAACGATAATTCTAGCGAATGCGAGGCTCCGTTCATCTTGCCCTTTATTTCGAATGAAATAAGTGCAGCTATAAAACGTTACTTAATAAGGGCCGGTCAAGAGAATTCCGTAAGAGTGATGGAAATACCATCGGGCACTCTACGGCGACAGCTAGTTCGCAACCGCCTATATGACCGTCTATGTACAACGAAAACTGCATAATTTGCCCTAACGGTAGAGATGACGATTGCATAAGCTTGAGGACGGTGTACCTAATCTCTTGTAAAGTTTGCAGGGACGAATACGTTGGCGAAACCGGTAGACTACTCCGTGTCCCTCAAAAGAACCCCTTTCCGGTAAATCTAGATGGAAACCAAACACTCCACTAGGCGCACATAGGGCATAAAAACACAACGGAGAAGATGTTGAAGTAGAAGTCACTACCCTCGCATAGCAATCCAGACATCAGCGCGTGACATGAATCTGTCTTAGTCGAATTCTCGAACATTTTCAATTATTTACAAATTTGAAAGACGTTTGTTTCAGTAACGTGTTCTCATCATTTATATGAATATTCATTTTTCTAGACATACGTGCATTGATGGTCTTAATTATGTCTCAGCTATAGTATTTTTTAAACATTGAGGTATAATTGTCGAGATATTCGCATTGCTATGATATTAGTGGGCATGTTTTTGTTGTGATTAGACGTAGTATTACCCACGTTTTTTGTTTTGTTTTGTCTTTTTGGTGACGACGATTTCCCTTTTTGTTTATATAAAGTATTTTTCTTTGTTCATTGTTATCTGTAGTGCTGAACTCAGTTGATATGTTTAAAATCTGTGTCATTTTTAAGATCACAGAATTTCTAGTGCTATAACGTAATGCACTAATTTATCCCATTTTGTTGTGAAGGTTTTAACATCATGGGTTGAATAGCAAAGATGACGGACACAGTTAGGCAGGTGAGTCCTTAGTCTTTCCTTAGTAGATATAAATACCTTAGGTCTCTACATTACTAACGACTTCGTTGTAAATTGGGCGATGGGCAATTTTCTATTGAATTCTGTCTTTTCCTCACAATTACTTCTTGCCAATGTATTATTCATCGCCACAAGGGATTGTTCAGGGATTCATATGCCCATTTTGCATGGCTGATCTTGGCGACTTCCCACGTCTGCAGAACCATGTCAACACAGTTCATCCCGAGAGAAAGCAAGACCTCACAGATACGGTCATTGACAACGTTAAGGGTAAGTACTTTACCCATTGGTCGTGTCCCAATTTCCTTTAGGCTCCGTTTTGTTGGGCGAAATAAGAATCACTCGATGTCGCGAATTGAAAGTGAAATTCTTACTGCTTCTCAAGTTCACCGAAACGGGTCAATGCATTCCTGTCCTACAACTAATTTCTATGGAATGGTGAATATGTATTTGGCTCTCGCAATATTTTATGGGGCTTAAATAACGGGCTCTTTACGCTATATTTTCTTGGGCCACTGCAATTGGTTGAGCTTGGGAAATAGTAATAATGACTACTGTGAAGTGCGAAGTGAAATGGAGACCGCAGAAAGAATGCCTGATTGCAGTCATGAACGAATTTGAGGTTAGCCGTAATGAAGTAAACATCGATTGAAGATTGCAAATATAGTTTGGTAGGAAATTAAAGTAAGAAACTATTTTATGAAGTCCGTTCTAATTCGAACCAAATACTGGCTTCAATACAGCTATTTTACACTCTTGTGTTTTCTTTGAATTTATCATGGCTCCTGTTTGGTGGGGGTGTGTAGCGCAGTGTTCGAGGAGGTGCCCTGCATTAGAGGTGGAATCGATCCCCGCCCATTGGACTCACAAAGCTCTGTATTCTTCCGGGATCGGCAAATAGGTACCAGACTTGCCTAGGAGGATAGGAGCACTGGCTCCGTACATCGGTCGGCCACAGGAAATCATTGTAAAGGCCAGGTATACATTCAGTCACCTCCAACGATGCTTAATGAAGTCGAATGCATGGCGCATCCCTCAGGGATTGATCAACGCCGAGAGCTTTATCCTTTATTTTTACCTTGTGTAGTTGATTCGTTTAGGGTTTTTTGACAAAGCGAAAAGAGGTATGAAGATCCTAGACGCCAAAATGACTGCCGAATTATCACAGGTATTGACTTACTACTGAAGTGATATAATATACTCTCAATTCACATCTTTCATTTAGGTAAACATTGGTGTTTCAAACAGTGAAGCTGATCTTGCCAACATGGCTTCAACTGCACAGGGACGTGTAAATGAGAAAAGCAGGAGTAGTCGGCCCATAACCGTTGTTCGGCCGTCACCTGTCCGCGCAGAGATCGGTAGAAAAAAAGTTTTTCTTTTTAATGAAATGTAGAAATTAAACAATTTAATTCAGGAGTCACACGATCACATACTCAGTACTTCAATAAGGTTCGTGATTCCTCGGTCAATGAAAGTGCTGTCAGAACAAATATGCTAATCATTCGCCTTGATCGCCTCATCAATGAGTGCCCATCAGATCCTTTGAGAAGAAAAGGTATATGTTCTAAAACTATCAAAAGTATTAACACTTGTTGGGCAACATGGTTTGATTTCTACTGATTTCAAAATAGCAGAAAATAATTATGCCTATGAGCCTTAAGCAGACATGTCTCACCTCGTTGTGAATCTTTCACTGCTGACAAATCAGATGAAGCGGTTAGAATTTGTAGGACTTTACTGGCTGGTTACAATCTTATCAGATTTTGCAGCAGTAAAGATTCTGTTCTTGAAACCTACAAACTTATTTTTCCTTTTTCGATGCTTATATTTCGAAAATCGAACTGATTGAGCAGTGGGAATTTTCGTAGGATGGTACGATATCCCCAGTGTATGATTAATTGTGGGTACTGCGTTTGCATTAAAATTCGCCAACATATTAGTTTCATTCCTCCCAATGCTTTACCACCTCACCGTTTCTGCGAGATGTTCCTGGATGTCGGGCTGCAATGTGCAAGGGGTTTCATACTCAGTAGGCTCTCCCAAGCTGAGAAAGAGTCCGGCGTTTCTATCAGGAAACCCGACTAGGAGTAAACCAATACGAGGATGTACTACCGTCTCGGCATCAAACTAGTCGCATGATGACAAATCTCCCTCTGATCCACAAGGCGGTCACTGTCTGTGGTGATAACGACCTAGGGCAGACTTTCGCCAAGTTGACCTCGGGACTCCAGAGAACTACAATAGCTAAACTAGCAAAACTCGCAAAGGATGGAAATTATGGTAGAGCCCGCACAACCAATGATGACGAATGATCCAACTACCCAGTAATCATTAGCTTCATTTCTCTTCTTTTCTATTTTTGCGTTTGAACGAATCAAAAAGGTCTAAAAAATTAGAAAAGCCGTGTGTTTTGAACAACAGAGCCAATTCGTCTATAAGTCTATCAAGTAGTCAACTCAAAAGTGCTCTAAAAAAACTAGCAACGTCCACTATATGTTGACTACTAAGAATAGCTGCTCAATTTTTGGAAGATTTACTGTTTCTTTCCCATATTTTCATCTACAAATGCCAGGCTTAATAAACGTAGTCTTAAAGGTACATGTTCCCTCATTTTGTTGAATGTTAGACTTTCGAGTATGTTTATTTAATCACTACGTTATACTAATGTTTACCGACTTAACTGGTTATTCCTTTCCTTTCTGATCAGAGTTTGAGAGAGAAGTCGTTCCGTGGTCGGCTGACTCTGAGTCACTACACTGCACTCGGTGTGCGGCTAAGTTTGGTCTCGCTCGGCGACGTCATCACTGTCGTCTCTGTGGGCGTATAATGTGCCATCAATGCAGTCAATTTCTATCGTTTCTTTCTGCTAGTAAGTTTAATGTGCCATTATCACCTGTTTGTTATATTTAAGCATTGTGTTTTTGTTGTTGATATCTTCAGGAAGGTTGACAAACCCTGCATTAGCGGCAGAAATGTTGGAAACGGACAGCACTTCTACGTCCGACACAGTTTCATCACACAGTCGTCGTCTGTTGGAAATGACGCAGAAAACAACTGAGAAGGTTGTATCGTTCATTGAAGGAGCTGTTTCGAAAATGCAGACGACCACGGATGGCAGTGAAGTCAGTCTGGGCTCTCTACTCCAGCAGGTAGACTAACGTCCAGGTAGACTCGATAGTCCGAGTGCGCGAGAGTTGATGTGACGTGGAGTGATGGTGGTTGGCATCTTTGTCTCTGAGTTGTCTTTCGCTTATTTTCCGCTCTATTTAAATGGATCACCTGTATGATGAAGCTGTTTTGTTTTTTTTGTGGAACCGATACGACTTCTTGAATGAGATGGGCTCTTCAGTACTCGGTTACTTTGAGTGCTCATTCGTTGGCTTAAGGCTTAACAGAATCTGGTGGCGTCTTTCTGATCACTGTGTTAACGATTGTAGTCGAAATTATGCGTTTTTTAACGTGAAATTTTAAGGATGCTCAGGAATGCCTCCGAGTATGTGGTTCATGTATGACTGATCTTAGTAGACGAGAACAGATGATGGAGCAACGAAATCCACCGGTTCTGGCTGAACAGTACGAGACTCTTGATCGTATGATTGCCGATGCCTCAGCTATGGTACCGAGTTACACGCGAATGTCCAAGAGTATCAAGTGAGTATTTTACAGCGTTGAATATTGTTAACCCGTCCGTGCCGAGGTAAGCCATATATGACACTTTTTCAACCGTTTATTCTGATTTTGTACCTCATAGAGCTGAACGCATAGCTCATAGAGCTTTGCTGCACTTTTATAACCATTCGAAAGGTTATTAAGGAGTGGTGGTAAGCGCGAAGAGTTTTTTGAAGTAGTTTATTGCCCACCGGTCCCAGTAATGAATAATGTGTCACTTATGGAACCGGGTGATGTAAAAAAATACCTTCAAGTCTTCTAGTTATCGCAAAATTATCCTTCGCTATTAAAGAACCACCAGGTCCGTAGAGACATGAAGTTGGGTGTCGTCGTATTTCCCTTTTCCCTTCCACATAAAATTAGTGGGTTGCATATGCACCAGTGGGTTGAGAAGGATGAGGGAGAAATGCCGTTGTGTTAGGAAGAAATTTCTCCAGTTTTCTTTAACGTGAGTCGTTTTTTCAAATGATATTTGCGAATGATCTGTCAAACGTTTAGCTTTCAATTTCAGTAATGGAGAAACGATGTATACTTTAGCAGCTGCAGAGGAACTCCGCAGTCGACTTTTTGAAAAACAACACGATATTGATAACCTTAGGTCGGTGGGTATTATAGTGCAACCATTTTTTTTTCAGTTTTCATTTACTATTTTATTCACTCTTATCCCTAAATGTATAGTCTGCCTAGACTGTGATGGTTCGTTATTACACGACTATTTTACTTAGCTCGGAGGTCCTAGATGTATGAAATAGAAAGAGTAATAAAATAATCTGTACAGTTTAGTCAACGAATTGCCGCTGATGCAGAAAAGGAGCATTGTGGAGTGAAAGAAGCGCAGTTAAGGCGAAATATCCGACTTGCTAGTGTTCAAGCTCTCCAGGTGTGCTCTTTGTTCCCTAGTGTGACTTTACCTTTCAGTACAGTAAGCAGTGTTTTGAGGTGATTGTTAGGCGTTTTTGTTCTAGACAATGGTATCTACAATGGTTTCTTTGCCAACTGCACAAAAATATGAGATGTTAGTTGAGAAGCACAAAAAGGAAGTGGCAAGACAAATTGAAGAAGCTCGATTAAGAGCAACAAGCGAGCTTGGCGGCGTTCGTGTTGGTTTTATTGCTTTGTGTTACCAAATCCCCATTTTTCACCATTTCATTCCTTTTCATCCTTTTAATTAATAATTTTTTAACTCGATTTTCAATGTGCTTTCGATTTAGTCCTCCTCTTCTCTACCATCAGTTGCTTTAAGAGATCAGACTTCTATCAGTACTATTCATGAGCGACCACGAAAACAGACAGAAGATGGTTGGACACCTCAACAAACAAAGTACTTTTGTTTTCACACAAACTTTATGAAAACATGTCTAGGAAGCTCAAGGGACACAAATATTCCGGAGGTTTAGTCCTTGTGAGACTTGAGTATTCAATGGTGAGCACGGTAGGAGAGTTGGGCTAGATGCTAAACACAACGGCTACCCTTTGTAATGAAGTTGAAGACTTCTAAACTTCCGAAAGTTCAGGAGAGAAAAGCGGAATATTATGTTTCTCACTACTATGTCTCCGTAAGACTTTCATAGATAGAAAGTTGCTGCACTTGTTTCAGAACGTACAACCCTTTCATGGAGGAAGAAGACAGACTTCATCCATTATTTGAACAGAGAGATATAATAAAAGGGTAATCTGAGGTTTTTGTTGTTTTACAAGTTTTTTTTTGAATTTAAAACTTGGAGACTAAAAAACTTTCGGGGAAACTTCCAGATAGAAGTTCTTGTGAATTTTAGGTACCTATCACAAGCAGCGACGGCTGGCCGTCTAGAAGAAGTTGAGATTTTAGAACGAAATTTGAGATACCTTGAAGATGAGATGTTTAAGATGGGGTTAATATCACCAACATGAAATCATGTACATAATTTCTTTTCAAGCATGGGTTATTGAAGAAGTCTGTATATTGATCGCTTCTGAATCTCAACATTCCGAAGCCACTTCTGGCTACAGATGTTGCTTCTTTTGTATTCACTAGAATGTCGATTGAGTTAGTTTTTATGTTGTTGAACAAGTTTCAAACTTTTTTATAGTGTTCTTAGTAGTACACAGTAGTAGCATTTATATGTCTGCGCATATTTTTCTAATCCCTATCGTCTTTCCTTTCGCGATCCTTTCTTTGTTTTCTTTTTATTACATATTTCCTTTGTTTCATTCTTGCTAGGAATATCCGCTATGCCTCAAACGATGATGCGGAGCTTCTTCTGAAATTTTGTTTAGGCTAATTTTACTCGGTGACCAGTTTTTCACTACCGTATCCGGCGTGTAGTTACAGTAAACTTTGCGTGATAAGAAGGAACCAAATATGTTCACTTACCTTATGAAAGCTTTGTAGTCGCTTTTATCGCGTAGTTTTTTCCTTTATTTTTTCTTTTCCCATGTTTTTTTTTGTGTACCTATAGAAAACTCTATTGCTCCGGTGGAATCAAACTTACTAGATGAACTTTAAATTGGGGTATTTTGCTTTGTTAACTGCATTCAGTCTATGGAATAAATTTTATTTGCTATTACTAGCGTGTAGTTTTGAATTGTTACAAAGCACAACATTAAGTTTTTTATTCGCTGCCTACTACAATTTTTACGGCGTAGTGATAAATAGAAAACTAGCTGAGAGGATGGCGAAACGAAGGACACACGTGGTGCAGTGGTGAACGTGTTGACCTCTGGAAAGAATAGTGCTGTGTTCGGTCTTCACCGGAGACACCGGCCGTTCGGAGTTTTGCAAATATCTCAGCATCACTGTAGTTGTTATAGTTCTTTTCATGTCTACGTTCACCTAGTTTGATAACGTTCTTCTCCGTTTCCAGCTGACCGGCGTTCTCTGTTCGGCTCACCTGGCATGTGCTCAAGTGGATCGACGGTCTTAATCTACAGCTTATTGCACCTGTGTGAGTAATTTCGTAATTAAGGTACGGTTGCGTCACATGAACATACCTAACGACGATAATCTTCAGCCTGTGGCTGGTCGCTTTCGCATCACTTGCTCCCCATACTGATTACCATTGCTAATCATTGTAATTATTATGAAAGTAATTAAGTAGTTGGTTAGAATCAATTCCGTAATGCGACTAGTTTGACAGTGAACATATTGGTGACATAGTTTTAATGGAACAAGTGAATTTACAATTTTTTTCTTGTTTGGAATTCTAGAAATGGGACCTCTATTTCCTTCTTATATAATCTGATTCAGAAGCAGCTAAAGATTTGCTCACATTTACTTCAGTTCTGCTAGGACGATGATGATCTTTACATCATTATCTGCTTTATGTTAAAGCAATCTGAATTCCCTGATGGTGCCTTATTCATTGTTGAATAACTCGTTCAGGCTTGGATCGATCTAGTAGGACGAGATAACTATTTGCTTGAAAGAAAGATTGTATTTCGCTGCACTTCTACCACTACCACTCAGGATGCCTCATTCCGCTTATTTTTTGAGCTCCAGTTGATGACTTGCTGTATTCTCGCTGATACATTAAATGTCAGTTTGACGCTGGTTTTCCTTGGAATCCGAGGTAGCGGTCTTAGAGTGTTCCGCTATCTTCATCACAGGCATTCTCTATTCTTTATCGATCTTAAAGAAGTGTGTTGGGTTGCGATTGAGACTCTTGCGGAATTCTACCGATACCTGCGATTAGTCGGTCGAAGGACCTTACTGAAGACGAAATTGAAAACCAAGTTTGAATCGAAACAGCGCTTTCACATGTGGTCTCGCTAATCATTGAGGAATGTAAGTGGGGTTATCGGTAAATTCAATTCGTTACCGTCATGTTCAGCAGAAGTTTCGATATGATGCCCTTTTTAAAACATTGGGGAGAATGACATGTTAGAGAAAGGAAAAGAAAATAAGTGCATCGATGAAGTGATATAGGAAAATCTGAGTTATTGTTTTTGGGTTTTATCCATTCAACCTACCTCAACTTTAAGACTTCTCATTCGTTCACTTCTATTCGGATAAGTAAGAAGTAGACAATCGTGATGTGCATTCTTGGCGATGACGCAACAGAATCAGGCACTGCTAATGTGCATGTGATACGCTGCGGGATTTCGATTGTTCGGTGACTCTTCCGACTAAATCACAGCCCAATTATCTATCAAGTTGTTATGTCCATTGTTCTGCTCCAAATAGGTACTACACGGGAACTATTTGCTGTCGTTGACATCAAAGACTTGGTACATTGACAGACGAGTTCCGACATGCATCGAGAACAATGCATTTAGTCTGAAAATAATGGTAGTCTTCATTTTTGATCCAAAATATCTCGTCTCATGTTGAACCTTTTCTCTCATTATTTTGTGCAACCTCTCTTCACATCTACTATGGGGATCCCAGCATTTCTTGCTCTCGATTTATTTCTTCGCATCCATCATCCACGAAAGTTTTTGAGCTTTTCTCGTGTAGGTTTGGCTGCTACTTGAGGATTTTTTTGTCTTCGCCATGAGTATCGTTGAATTCTGTTCGAGTTGATTCTCTCTGGAGTGCTGAGAAAGCCGGACAAGAGCGTTCCCATTTGCATTCTAGACAGTGAACTGTTCCCAGACAAGTCTGGTATTAATCTCTCAAGCGCGGAGGCATGAGAGCCTTGATGAGTGCGAGACGAGTTCGAACCAGCACCGTGATCGTGATGAGCGGCAGCATCACCACTGACACTACCGCCCCTTATACTGAACTTTATTGATCAAAATAAAGTTTAATAGGATTCTTGGGTCTCTGCTTACAAGTCTTCTTGTTCTACCAAGGTGAAATTCTACTTTCCTTGAATCCATGATACTTTTCCACGTTTTGCGACAAAGCGCACATCACGAATACGAAAGCAATTGGGTAAATGAAATTTCGTCCAGCAGGAGACAGTGGTGTTTACCAATTTGCCGTTCTGCTTACCGCTATTGCGTTTTTTATTTTGAAATTTTAGTAGTAGTATACCTATTCATCTATTGTTCATACTCTTGTAGTTACATCGCTAGATCGTCCACATTTAGCCTCAGACTCATAGTCTGCCCAGACATCCATTGCGCTATGTTTGCATAGATTCGAACTGTGAAATCCAGCTAAATGTTAGATGCACCGACTATTTTTCAAAGATATCATTCTGTTGCTCTGTGGATGATATCTACAATCCTCAACGCGGTGGAGATCGACCTAAATTTCTGTTATTTTGCAGAGCGGGTGGAAAGTTACAATGTCGAGTATGTAAGCTTAGATATCTGTCTCGATTCAATGTGTTCCTTGATGTGTTCCCTGAATCCCATGTTGCTTTTCGTCTGCTATGCATTTATTATGTCAACCAGCTCTTTCTGTCGAGTTCAACAAGCAAAGTACACCTATGTCTCGTAAATCGGGCAAGCATCCACCACGGTGCACTCTTAATCGCATTGGAAGTTTTTCCTGAACTCGATCTTCTTCTCATTTCTCCGCTATGTTATCCTTCTTTCCGTCTCGTTAATAGCTCGTCGCTACAGGTATTGTCGCTATAGTAACGGCGACAACTTGCATAGTTTTCAACACGGCAGCTATCTTGGGGATAGGGGTGGACATTTTCATAGCCCATCACTTCTTTGTCTACGTTTGCACAATTGCTGTTATGTCCTAGTTTATGGCCAAAGCTATTTTTCATATGGTGTTTGGGCTGTTTAACAAAATGGCGATACACCAAAGATGTCTATTCTGCGTCTATGCGCCATCTTCTGTGGACAAGGAGTTCGTTTTCATCCTTTATGAGTGACTTACACTTCGATTTGATTAGAGTTGTTTTTCAAAACTAAACAAGATTTTTCTTATTACGAAAATCCTCATGGAGTAAATTACCAGTGCACAAAAGACCATCAGAATGTTGTAGATCATCATTTCTATATTTATTTCCTAGCTTTGCGATTACGTTTCTCCTAAGTGGTATTGCACTTTCTTAAGACAAGACAACTGTCTAACAGGGAATTCGCAAAAGGTCTGTTCTTCGTGAATCTTTCTATCTGATTATACCATTGAATAGGTCTACTTCATCTTTATTAAATATCTATCTGATTTATCTGATGCTGGAGAGCGCGTGTGGTGCACTGCTCGGAGGCACCCTGCAACACATGGGATCGATCCTCGTGCTCTTGGCTCGCCAAGCCTACCATCTCTCCGTGGACGCAAATTGGTACCAGACTTGTCTGGGAGGATAGCAGCACTAACTGGATGCATCAGTAGACCACCGCGAGTCATTGTATAGGCCAGATATGCATTCATTCACCTTCGGCGGTGCTTAATCGAAAAGTCGAATGCATGTCGCATCCCTCAGGGATTGATGAGCTCCAAGAGCTTTATCCTTTTTTTATCTGATGCTGGTGTTGAGAAGTTGAAACGGAGGGACTTACTGACAGTATTTCGTGGAGGCCTAAATGTTGGACAACGAATCGGTTTACGCTAACAAGAAGTGAAGTGCTAAGATTTCTCCTTCACAGATGATTGTGGCCTCGTTTTCTTCAATAGTATTTCTTTCTTCTTTCTTTATTTTCTTTCTTTCTTTCTTCTTAATTCTGCTCAGTGGAAGGTCGTCGATATTTGAGGAAACGTGCGGTTTTCAAAAAAACTAAAGCATGGTGCATTTTACATAGTATACCAAATATTATACATATTCTAGTAAAGGGCACAGTAAGTGTGGCGTCTGTTGCAGTTAGGCCATACTGGACACTTGGGTAATTAAAGCTTTATAGAAATGGTGTAATACGACGGTAAGAACGAAAAGAGATGTGATCCAGTAACAATGAAATTCGGTTTCCGAAAGTATAAAGTGTGGAGAATTATTTCAGTAGATCTCAATACACTGAATAAGAACACAGTTAATAAGGACTATTTCTGAGAATTCATTATGTGCAAA